CACATGGGAAGTCACTGGGAGCATATACATACATATACAGGGTGTCCCGTACTGAAGAGTTACAAGCTGTTTTTCTCAGAATTTAATGAAGATATCGGTGTCATTTTTGCTACAAATAAATGCCACGGGGTTATTGATCTTTTAGTGCATAACATGAACGGAACTATTAGAAAAGCAGGGTTCTAATTGTAATTCTTACTTTCATAACAATATAATTTCAAATACCGTAAAATCTTGTTATACTCCAATTTCAGTAGACTGAAATTACGTCATGCACGGTCCTGAGGTTTCCTAGGACGTAGCTGATAAGCATTCCGTGGTGTAATGGAATCTCAATACCGAACTGTCATTAATTCCAACTATGAATCACTGTGATATAAGTTAATAGCGTGGCAACCTACGAGATTGTTTTGTTCAATTTAACTTTCGAATTCCATAGCTACGAAATCATAAATATATTTCTTATATAATCAACGCCTAACATAAGAAAAATAAAACATATTCCACAAGTGTAAGAATCGATTGAATATATTTTTTATATTTTTTTTTTTACGTTGGAAAAAGGATATTTTTTCTGCAACATTATGTTCCTAGAAACAAGGGAAGATGGGCATCCACTACTTTAATAATGAACGGCTCGAGTAGTAAGGCCGAGTTCAGTCTTTAGAGTGTAACACACTCAAGTAAAGCCTGTCCAGTGTGCTAAAAGTTTGTTCCATTTTTTTAATTACAAAATTTCGTTATTTCTAATGCTCTACAACATCGCAACATCAGAGTTTTAAATACAAATTATTGTTTAAGAATATCCCCTAATGCTCCCTTAAAGTAAAAATCAATCTAGAATTATTTAAGCACTGAAGATAGTCTTCTTCATTGACTGTTTGAACTGAAATTCAAGGAAAAGGTTTTCTAGAACGCATAATGTAAACGATGCGTCAGCTTTAAGCAACGACACAGTCCTAGTTTCCTCTTGAAACCTACGGTTGTTCGTTAGATGTAGAGGAGGTCGGTCACGTACAATACTTTGGACAAGATCCCTAGCGATGCTACACTTTCGTGGATCTATTAGTTGCCCAATTAACCAAAATACTCTGAGGTACGTGCGTTGTCTACAGAGACATCTGACAGTGATTGAAGAGATTCGGTCGTTTTCGATGTTGCTGTGATAATATCCAGAGAGACTGACATTCATTTAAATCCATGTAAACAATATATATACATATAAAACATTTAATTTTAATTAAACAATTATTTTTTAAGTAACTTTCTTACAATTCTGTTTATCAACCTATAAAAGTTTACAGTTCGTTGAAATGTAAATTTTATCTTACTTTGAAAATTAATTTTGTTATTGTACAAAATATTTACGTTAAAATCCTCGTAAATGACGCGGTGCGCTTTTTACAAACTACAACATTTAGAAAAAGAAATTTCCATTCGTTTCGCCATCATTCTTCTCTCATATCCCAATGTAAGGGAGTTTGAAATGGTTACTACTGCTGGTATCGCCAACTAGCGGAGTAAATTCTCTCATTAATTTGATGCAACGATTATGACTCGCGAATCTCAGGCCGTTGGGTACCATATCCACAGGGTTATCATTCGTTGGAATGCGCGTTATCTAAATGACTCCCTGTTCTAGGTTCCCTCCGACCAAATGGTTCTGAATGTGTTCTGTACTCGTCTTCCCTATTCTATTTTATGATAAATCTATCGCTACAGGATTATTATTGCATCCGTAAACTTCCTAAAATAAAACCTGTTAATTCCACTTCTTCTAAGCATTATTTACAACTTCTGTACCAGCTGCAGCACTTTCTGGAAACACTATCAGGGTCAATCCACGCGATATCGGACATTAAAATGGAGCAGTATCTCAGCTTTTGTACAAATTTGAGCATGTTGCTGTCTTTGATGAAAAATCTTTAATTATTGAGAAAATTCTTTTAACACAATATTGTATACACTGAAGCTTTTATATCAAACGAATAACATTTTTGGTTTTTTGAATCCAATAAAGTGGTGCACCCTACTACAGCTGTTTTTGGTTTTTAGAGGGGACAGGCCGCTACAGAAACAGTAGTATCGACGAAATTTTTGCACCAGCTACAGAGACTGACGTGTCAACGACCGGACGATTACGGTCAGTCGAATCCCTCACAGTATAACAGGTCTCTGACTCCCGGTTTCTACTTTTACTCTTCTCGCTTCCTTCGTTGCGTGCCCGAGGAACTCGTGCCCCGTACCATTGATGACTGTCCAATTAGCGAACCCAATTCATTATAACGTAATCCTCTCTCATGGTTTCTGCGTCGGCTTGTGCCTTCGAAAATCGATAATGTGACAGACCCGTCTCTTCATGTTAATAGCTAGGGTACCTGTTCTATTAAACGAGCATGTTCCAGTGATTAGACTTTTGGCAAACATTTTTTCTTTCGAATATCAGAAAAACACGGACGTATCCGTGTGGAATATTACAATATCATTAACCAGATGAAAATCGTAAAACTTAATGCTTGACTTTTTGAAATTAGAACCACGTTGAATCACTTTTCCTAAGTTACGTGAAACGACAAGTGGACTATCATAGTTTTCTGTTCTTATCGGAAACAAATTTTGATTACAGTATCTCAATCCTTATCGAGTGTTATTAAATATTTTCACTGTAATCAGTGTAAACTGCAGTAGTGTGAGAAGTGTTTACCATTTCGAAAATGGATAAATTGTCACGAAAAGTGGACGTATTACCAGTAAAGAAAAATTCTGATCGTTTTAATTGATGTGTTCGCCCGAAGAGTTTAGAAGAAAAATTGGCGAAATTAAAACGTGGCAGTTGGCACGCAGCCCGCACACTTTACGTTTTCATTAAGCCCATGCGTACACAGTGAAAAGTAATTTGTCCGTAGTACGTGAAAGGAGTGAAATTACACGAACGCTTCTATAAGGCGGCCGTAGACGGCACAATGGCATAGTGGATACGTTTTGTTATGTCGCGTTCGTTCTAATTGCCAGCTCGTGCAAATCGCGTTGAAAATACTGTGCCCCCCAAACATGAAGAAATATGCAAAAAAAAAGTTTAATTAGCTCGCGCGTTTGTTATGCTATTGGAAAGTATACGAGTGGATGTATTGTCTTGCTTCCTTGTAGAAACGGTTGAAGAGAGTCAACTTGTTTTAATTTTACAGTAAATTGTGGTTTTGCATTGAATTTAAGTTGTTAATATTGTAATGGCAATGTGGCTGATGGACAAACCCAAATTCATTTGAAAATGAAACTAAAAGTCAAAGATGTAAAAGTCAAGACTGTAATTAATTCTATTAAATAACAGAGAAGGATAATTTAATTTTTGTATAATATTACAATGACAACGATTAGGTTGACAACAGTCTCCTTCAAGCTTTTATATTCCTAAAGATAAAATTAATAATCGATAATACAATAATGATAGTGAAATAATGAAAACAGAGAATCAATATTTAATATGGCACGATATTGCGATTAATATTGCAAAACTGGAAGCGTAGAAGTTGATTAGAAATAAGCAAGACAACACTTTTTCTTAATAAATACAAAATATAATTTCATTCTATAATTCAAACTTTAATTTGTATTATTTGTATGCAGTAAACAATAGTTTCAGATTTTTATACGCAAATTTTGTAAAAAAATCTATTTATTTTATAGAAAGACGTAACGCAATTACCCCAGCCGGTCGGTAGTTTATTTAGCTCGGCGAAAAGCAGTTTCTTCTATCTAATTAATTAACCAATTAAGATTCAAGGAAACAGCGTTCGTATTCTCTCGGAGAAACATCTACTGTGGAATATTAATTCGTATATTTTCACGGATCAAGTATCCCGAGGAGGAATTAATTATCGACACTTTGAAATTAACTTTGCAATTAGAAATGAAGTCATAATACCAACTTTCGTTATTATGGAAGTGTTTTTAATGTATATTATAACATTGCTTATTTTTCAGGAACTTTAAATTAAGATTTCCAGATTAATAATACATGCTATTTATTTGTTCGTATTTGTTTAAAATAGTTACACTTACGTTCAGTGAATTATACAAACATCACGGGTCTATAAATAATAGAACACAAACTGTTCGCATTTGCATTTTGCAAAAGTAAATACGTCAAAATCGTAATGGTCTTCGCTCTAAAACAGATTTCGCTGGTGTCTACGGGGAACATCAAGATCTTATGACACGTGTGTACACGATTTATTCGCATAGTGGATCCGTGCGACGAGTAATATCCTGCACGCGTCTGTCTTTTCCGTGTGTCGGTGCAATTTATCCTGGATGATGGCGATGCACTATTGCAATATCACCAAGGACAACTTGTGACTCCCTTTTTTCCCGCCTCTTTTCTTTTTCCATCCGGTACGCGTTACCGCAGATTGTGTCGATCAGCGATATAAAGCGGACGTGGAGGAATTTTTTTTATCCCACCACGACATGTGTCGCGTGAAAGATTTTCCCATTCTAAAGAACTCGTGTCGTTTTACAGATCGTTCACATGTATCGAATCTTTAAGTCCTACAAAGAAATACACTCGCCAGCTGGCCATGTTCGAGCATAATTTCACTCGATGTGCATCTTGTTTTCTTTACTATAGAAAACAACTTTACTATATTCTTTTTAACTCTATGGTCAGTATAAGTCAATAAATATCAGATATTCCTAATTATTTTGAGAAGTATACATATACTATGTAAAATATTTCACAAACTTTTATTGTCTTCTATATTATCGTGTAACCCCCTAAATATCAAACTAATATACAGTAAGACATCTTTAGACAAGTCAATTAAATTAGACAGTTGGTTAACTCGATAAATGTCAGTCATTTTCTAATTATTTTGAGTTTTATGCTTGCACTACACAAAATTATATGTATAGTATACATTTGTAATTCTTGGGAACTTTGTAAACGTGCAATCGCGATTGTGGGTTATAGGAGCAGGTGGAAAATGGGAAAGTGTACTCACCTGTTCTGCAGATTCGGTGATGAAAGAATGGCAATATTGTATGCTGAAGTGCGCTCTCGGCTCTCGAGCGAGGAAGCTGAATTGAGCGTGCTGAGGTTCACAGGTTGCGTACGAGATGCGCCTCAACGCGTGCGCCATTTGCACGCACTAAAAAATAAAAATGAACGTCCTACTTTAACAGTCGTGTACTTACGAAAATGGGGCGAAATGTTACGAAAATTTTATTTAAAGTATACATGTATGGTTGGTATTGTTTACACATGAAATCAGGAAATTACAATTGTTTGGAAAGCAAACAAAATTCTTTAATTCGGAAGCTACGAGTTTTTGAAAGAAACAAACTTGTACGGGTAACTACAGAAGTTATTTTCAAATCATATTAAACTCATACTTTTATAGTGATCCTTAATAAATATTGTCATCTATGTTTAATCGAAAATGCATTAACTCAGCTTTAAAAAATTGGAGTTGTAATATTTTTAAAGAAAACATTCTCGAATAATGTACTACAGTAAAATTTCTTTTAAAGAATTTATTAGGATAATGTTCACCATCGACTCTGCTACTATACACATTGTATTAGCTTTCGAAAAAAAAGAAATACCGTTCACACGATGCTTTACCAGCAGTGTTCCGACGATCTCAAATATTATCAAAAATCATTGATATCATGTGGTAATCGTTGCGTCCTCAAGGATCGTAAATTAAACAATTTTCCCCGTGTTTACCACGTCGGGTTCTCCCTATTTGCAAAACAGATGGTAATTGCGAGCTTTCCTGCCCTTTTGAATACTAAATAAAAACGTCTACCGAATAATGATCCGCCACTCCGAACGCACGGAAGGTCAGGAGATCAAAGCAGCTTGTTACGTTTTAGTCTGGAGGTACCAGGAACATTTCTCAAGCATAAAGTAGCGACGTCTCTCGCGACACCGTTCCCGCGTGTTATCTTGTGTTATATATTGCGGGGCTCGTTGAATTTCTCTTTGCGATTTTATGCGTTCTTACTAGTTTTCACCGTTTGCTTGCTTCCACCGTGGCTCTGGCTCCTCTTCGCGTGGGTTTTCAAACTTTCGCGTGCCTTTGAAGTCAGGTATATCTCCAGCGTACCTCAAACGGTGGTTTATCTCGCGGTTCTAGGTAATGCTAATAAAATGCATGCCTTTGCTTTGAATATAGAAATTATTCGAATTTTCTGCTACCCGAGGACCAATATTTGCTGGGCTCCAAATAACCATTACTTACTACGTTTCGAATCTAGCTTTTTTAATCCTCTTTAGGGACTATGAACGTGACGATTAAATTTGAATAACAAATTGTTTAGTTTATTACGTAAAGACGTGTGATTATATCGGTTCAGTTTTTATTGTTTATGTTTTATATAACTATAATAATGTTTAATTTTATTTCGCACGCCAAGGTTATCAAAATTTTCTATTTCAAAATGTTAACTTTATTGTAATACCTCTTTCTGTAATCAACTTGATAAATGAAAATTTAATTATCATACTGACGAATTTGTAACCAAATAAAATCGTTACTATAACTTATGTTGATAAAATGAATTTCTTAAACGACGAAACAATAATTCATGAAAGAATATGTGTGATGTATATTAGAGACACAATGATATCATTTACTATAATAGAGTAATGCTAGCATCTGCCCTTTTCAATTTTCTCAGCGGGAATTGGTAAAATGCTGTTTCATTATCGCTTTGTTCTTGCTGAATCGAATGATTAAACAACGTTAAATCGATGAGTTCCGTTACGAAGCATAACGACTGATGCATGAGTTCTATTTTAAAACGGCACAAGAAAATAGCATCCTCATTAAAGTGAGTAACTCATAAATATCACTTAGCTACAGCAAAGTGCCAGAGGTATCGCATCTTGTTACTTCTAAGACTGATATGATGAGTGTGGGCTGAGATTTGAGTACGAGATAATTAAATAAAATGAGCGTGGTATTATTCACGCGGCGAGTTACGTGAATAAAGAATCGGAGGCGACACCGAAATGATGTTTGCATTCGAAGAAAGCACTTTTATCTAAGTGACATCATCTATTTCACGCTGTTTGAAAGTAATTCAATCATAAATGCACCAGTCTAGTGTCGTAAGCTTTAAGCATTGAACGCAGCTTTTGTAAAAAGAAACGATCAGCATTAGCAAACAGAGGAAAAGTTTTATTCCGCTGTTATAATGCACGAACGCACACTGCGCAAGCAACGCGGCAGAAAATTAAAGAGTTTAACTGGGAACTTGTTATCCCACAGACATTGCACGAAGTGATTACCGTCTGTTTCGTAGTTTACATAACTGTCTAGTAGAAAAGGAATCTTTAAACAAAAGTGAAGTTGAAACAGCGATGCTTGTGTATACTTTACATCAAAATTGGAGTCTTTCTTCTGAGAAGTTACATGTAAGATGGCGTAATGTTGTAAAGTAACAGAGAAGAATACATCGTTAAATATGAAATAACGAATCGATTATTTTTTCAGAAATAAAAGTTTACAAAAGTTAATAAGTAGAAATTAAGTGCTTATTATAATGAAAATAAATTTTTATTCATTTATTTATGTACTTATAGATTTTGCATGAAGTTTGTGTAGGTTCGTATATAAATATTTAAAGATGTTTTAGGATACATTGAATATTTTTTAAAAAAACCGGAATAAAATGTATCGTTTGCTTGATCAAAACTGTTCACGTTTATAAATCTTCTATACTTTAATAATTAACTTTATAAGTTTTAAAAAGTGTCATTAATACGATTTAGAACTTGCTTATAAATATATCAATTGATATATTGTTTCTTCTAAGTCGCGATGCAATATTCGAATAGTTTACTATCGTGGAAGTGACTATAATACCGACGCATATGAGCCGAGATATTTTACCCTAAAGGTTTTAGTTTCGTTGATCGTCGGCAGAGTTCGCTGTTCACTACGAAGCATTTATCTTGTTCGAAATGAAGATAACTAATATTCATGTATCGAATAAATAATATTTATAATAATTCCATTTCTTCACTCGGAAAGTTGGTTATTGGTACTCTTTTATCTAATTTATAATTAGATCCTCTTCCCTTTAGTTGTAAAACAGTGCTTTGCTACACTATCAATGTATAAAAAGAAGACATATACTTCACTTTATATTGTTATCGAATAACAACTCTCTCGCGAATCATGGAAGAATAAGTGCCTTTGACATTTCCGTTTGAGGGGGCAGTTTGATAATTAGACGATTAATTCTACATCGGCGGCAAGGCATTGTTATAGCGCTATGTCGATTAACGTGAGGGCGAAAAGGAACGAATAAATCACAATTATTGGCCACTTCGGGTCGAGATGAAGTTTCGTTCATCGAATTCGTTCAGCACCACGGAACTTTTAATGGCTCACAGCGTCGGTGCGCCGTTCGCAGAAAAATCCGGCAGGAAGTTCGTCGCTCCTGCCGCGCGAAGTATGCTCCCGAAGTTTCAAGCGATTTCGAGATATTGTTCGACTTCGTTGCGAGTTACTGAATAGTCCTGGACTTGTAATTACGAATGCTAACACGACCTATCATTTTAAATTATTACTCGTTGCATCGTTACATAGTTCGCCGAGAATATTTATTTCTGGATACTGATTTCAATTAAAAAATTAATTTACGAATGCAACATACACCAGTTTAGGAATTAATATAACACTATTTACACGGAAGTAAACTGTGCTCGACTCTGCAACAACTTTAATACACTCTTTAGACCAGAGCTGAGTACTGTTAAAATGAATTTTTATTTAATTAATTATTTGGATTAGAATTATAAGTTACTGCTTGAAAGTTTAAGTACAGAAATTGCTTAAACTGAAGAAGCCGAGTAAATGATTAAAAGTAGTAAAATCATTAAAGAATTCTTTGAAGAAATAAACTTTCAAAGATTTATTTGGAGTTTCCAATGATGCGCTCAAAAATTGTCATATATGTCATAAGCTTACGGTACAAACTAAATTTTATTTAGAATTCAACTCCTTGGCAATTAAATCGTACCGCCACCATGGTGCCATATATTTGCCACCCCCGCGATAGGAGGTTAAAAAGAGTCTTGCGTAATCTATCCTCGCGACCCAAAGACGGTAATCCTAGAAGGAACCGATGTATGACGGATCGTTGGGCGAGAAACAATTGCACTCGTGAGAAATAAAGTCCGGCTTCAAAGCGGGAATTTCCAGCTGCTAAATTCCATAACGTTTCACTTCGGTTCGGTCGTATATTCTCCCACAGAATTCCGCGACATCAAGGCGTTGGTTATATGCCCTCTGGAATTTAATAAATCGAAACTAAGCGCGTATTGAATTCTTCCCACAATGATACCTCCTGGCGAAGGTACCAAGATCCTTTTCCCTGCATTCTTTCCCCGGGAAAAGTTATGATTATGCCACTACGCTGCCACGAGGAAGATGTATTCTCACCTGAACCCTACGGAAAACGTGAGGTCACGTATGCTTTGCACAGCCTCCCTCTATGTATACACGTGTGCACTTCAGTATGCATAATGTTTATAAGCCGGCGCATCCGCATCATAGCGGTATCCGCGGCGACATAAAATATTTTTATATCGAAGGATACCTGCTCTGGAAAATATTTGTATTTCCGCGACTATCACTGGCGCATCGTAAACAACTCGTTCCCTAGACGCGTTATTCGACGAGCAACATTTTCATCGATTTTCCAAGTCCCCTTTCTCACCGTACTACCCTCATCGCGGCATGATGGCATTTGAATAGAAAATTTACACTCAGTGATCGATATCAAAATATTGGAATTTATTTGAAGTATATTCGTTTTTCAGAAATTTTTTAGGATTTTTTAAAATCTATTATTTATGAATATTTTTATCAGTTTCGGCATTTATTAAAATTTAAAGAGGAGTATTCACTACTTCTTGTGAATCATAACATTCATTGATGTTTGAATCTGTATTAATTTTAATGTCTCGATATCTTCTCAATTTTGTTCCTGAAAATCCACACATCAATTAGTTTTGAGTTTTAAATTCTGAATCTGGACTCTAAATAAAAAATTAGAAAATGGTGAGGTCAAGTGTATGGAGCTTTAAAAAGGGGGTCAAATGGTGGGGTAGGCACTCGTATCGAAATAA